AAGGTTAAAGTATAAAGATTTATTATACAGAGTTACAAGAACAATGGTTGCATAACATTAAATAATAACATAATTTTTGAGTTAAAAACGAAACGGTAATCAATTGGTATTCATTATGCTGTCCTATCGCCATGTGGTCTCGGTATAGAATAGGTCACCCTTTTCTTTCTCGTGTGTGTCATAAGAGTCGACTAAGGGAGGACGAGAGACAAGCAGCAGCGTCTTCCTTAAAACATCTCCAAAACCTTACTGCAGTTGCCAATTCGCTTACCAAGCGTGACAACTACTGGACCCCCCCCCCCCGCTATTTAAAGGCTGATATGATGATCATGGTGCTGTCCTAATTTAGATCTTGTCATTGTCCTGTTTTTGACCTAAAAATATTACTTAATTTCTGTGGAATATTATTCCAAGTCGAATCTGTCTAATATAGAATCGATCGTATATTAAATTTTTTAATTATTATTTATTAAAAAAAAGTATCTACTTTAATTCTTTTTATTTACCTACTTTAGTATTTTTCAGCCGACTTCTAAAAGAAAGAGGTTCTCATTTTTTATGTTTACTATACTACATTATGACTCCGTCAGTCTAAAATAAATAAAAAAACAAATTTTTATTTAAATGAATATACTTACGAATTGGTTTTATAAAGATTTTGTCAAAATCGGTTCAGTAGTTTAGTTTTTAAATTAAAATAACTGCTTTTGTCACAATTGAAGTTTTTTTTGTGGGAACAATCTTAATTATCTACAATGCAATGTGTAATAACTAATTCTAACTATAAACTAAAATTCATTGTCGAAAAAATGCACAGAAGGAGTAATCATGTACCACAATTGTTTATTTACTGGTTTAGTATGCACCGAGCGTGCCTTAATGTTGTTCAACTGTGGGAACTAGGCCGTGTCAACGAGAGTAACGTTAGCAAATTAAGATTACTTCACAAAAACTGTACTTATATTTTAATGACTAGGTATTACATAGTTATTATATGTCATTAATTTTAATATATATATTATAATAAAAGACTAAAATAATCTACCTACCTATATGGAAATGAAATTAAATAAGATTTATTTCGTAAAAATATAACTGTAGTTTCATAAATTACAGTACTAATATTAATATTATAATTTTAAATGAGTACAGTAGTTATGGTTTTAGAACTGGGCTCTTAAATTGTTAAATATGCCTGTGTTAAGGGGCCACAGCCCCAAAAGTGTTTTGAAAAATATTGCACAAAAAATAAGTAAAATCTAGAAACAAACAGAATAAATTAGAGATATGTATATTGTTTTTCAATGAGATTTGTTTAGAAGCTCTTTTCAATTAATTTGTTTTTTAATATTCTACTGCTGTGTTTGGAACGTTATCTGCTAAAAAGAACCCGCAAGAAATTCAACAGTTACACTTTCCAATTTTAAAATATTTTTTACTAATTTTTGTAGTAGTTTTGTCCGCGTCTATTCCTGTTTCAAATATCCAGACAAGCAAACATCTTTACCAACTTCCACATTTAATTAAAAATATTTATTAACGATCTGTGGTCATGTATAAAATAAAAACATCAATAATAATATAAAAAAATATGAATATACTAACAATGTCTTTATCATTGTAGAGGGTTGGCTGAAAGAGAACTCTTTCAGAGTAATATCCTTACTCACGATATTTATGTTTTATATATGTAATTTACAAGTGCAATAAAAAAATATATAATAAAATATCGATGAATTTCTGCTTATACGTTATATAAAATTTTCTTTGAAAGATGACAGTGGTGGTAAACTTGCCCTGCTCTGTATTTAAAATAAGTAGACAAATCTTGTCTTATTTATATACCAACAATAAATTTTTAAAAAGCTTCTGACTACTCTACATAAAATTGTCGTCGTGAGCGTGTATATTTTTTATTTTTACTTAAAAATCCTCTATAATTTTCAATATTGCTTGCATAATTTTACACTTTTATGCAAACGGTACTGATTACTGAGATACTAATAGCCTTGGTTGTGAAAGGACGATGGTCTGCAAAATATTTTGCTTCTGTCTACAGCTCACAGGCCATTTGAAGGTCACTGAATTGCCTAAAGTTTATTGTTAACAATATTATAAAAACAAATGAATGTAGAATCCTCCTTTTTAGTTTATGACTGTTATATTTGGTTATAGCTATAAAAAAGTGTTCGTATATGTTATGAAAAGATGGCAACACCAAACACACGACAGATTATACTAAGCTGTTAAGCCCACGTGACCTCAGCGTTCTCGCGGGCATTATGCTTATTGTGTTATATTGGTATACTGCTTTTGTTTAACTGTTAAAAGAAAAAATCTCAGCGCGACTGTTTTTTTTTGTAAACGTATTATCTACATTGACTTAGATATTTATACAAAGGAGATTTTTACTATCATATTGGTTTCATACTAATTTTGTTACGATCAAGTTGTTTTTTTTTTATCTACAAAACCATTAAATAAATTTTATATAAAAAAAATGAAGAACGTATTATATCCACTACCTACACATACATAATAGTAGTCATAATATATTACATGAATGCAGTTGTGAAATATAACTTTATTTTTGTGTCAATACGAATGTTTATTCCATGATTGGTTAAAATATTACGGCGTCTACAATTTCAAGTATTTAGTTAACAACTTAATAGATTACGAATTCGAATCGAATTCGATTCGAATTTAGATACGAAGAGATTCTCGTGTGTTTACTCAAGTAACAAATGTTTTTAGTGTATTTGGATTTCACCTATCATACCTCATTGGTACCTACCCAGCCAAAATATACCAATAATGCAGGTCACTATTTCATATTCACTCATTAAAAATATATTTTTATAAAGATATATTTATAGCACTTACTTATCTATATCTTTATTTATCGCTATGTTTATAGGTCTCAATAACTCGCAAAGCATTCGTAAGGCGCCATTTTAGACTACAAACTGCCCAAAAAATAATGCCATTTTAAAAATAATATCAAACACTTTTTACAATTACTTTAAACTTATAGCGAATCACTTATCATATAAAAATCAATTTAATTTAATTGTAATTACCAAATTATCAATTTTTGGACTTTCGAACTTTCATATACTTCGATATGAAACATTTAAAAGGCGACGCGTCGGCCAATAATTTTCCGAACTGGACACATGCTCGCGTCTTTATAAAAAAAAAATATTTATATTAAGTCTAAGCAATCAGTTCATTAAACTTAGAAAAATATTTTATAAAATATACGGGTCTTTTATTATACCTATCGATATTCTAGACAAAGGCATGCTATAAATAGCTGTACATATCAGAGAGTAAGCGACCCTCTGTTTCGCCGTGATACAGCTGTTCTTGCATGGTTGTTTTTCGATTTGAACGGTGTGATATCGCTGTAAAATTACAAAGTATGAAGATATAATACCTTAGTTTTGTAGAACAAACCTTGAAGAGTAAGTTCAAAGACGTCACAGAGAATACTGTGTATAGACGACTATTACCTTCCTGTTATGCGAGGCATCAGCTTCATTATATTTATAGCAATAGTTTGCAACTTAGTTATATATAATATAAAAAAAAAAAAAACGTGCAGTGAACATTGTTTTATTGTATTGATATTTCTAAATGGTTGCAAAGGTATATCAATTTTCCCGTTACGTCTGTCTGACTCTTAAATAAATTGATAACTTATTCTATAATTAACATTCCATTTAGTTATATATGATTGAAGCTCAATCTATTAAAACTTTATCCATATTTAGTAATAAACAAACTTAATATTGGTAACTAAATATAGTAACAATATAATTAGTTTACCCAAGAATCTGTCTAAATTATTACAAATAATGCGTCAGATGCTTCTTCTAATATTGATTAATGGAATATGACACAAGATAAAAGCGAATTGGTGTTAATGATCGTTATACGCGCGTATCTCCATCAAAATAATATTACTATTACATCTATGACGAAGTTTGTGGTTATTTATAGCATAAAATTATATAATATACGTAATGTAAACATAATTATGTAACAGTAATTTCCTGCAAATTATGGCCGTAGAAATTTTGCTTTTTTCCAATGGTGTAGAATTTGAACATTATTACTACTGTATTATTATATTATTATGTACAATGTTATCCCATATCTTTGAATGCGAAAATATGCTTCATCTATATAGGTATCAATTGCATTCAAATTTGTTTATCAGTTTAAAACGAACATACAAACACATAAACATCTTTACAATATTTCTGATCTTTATATTGTAAATTTCAAAATTTTGTAAAATTTGTAAATGTAAAATCTTATGTTGTAAATAAGAAACTTAAGAAAAAACTAAATAAATTTGAATAAAATTTTATACACGGGTAGATTATGTCGTATATTATCCATAAAATTCTAAGAATAAGAACAGAAAATAAAATGGTCAAGGGAAGAAGGAAAGTCACTAATGTTGGGTAGTGCCGATTACCATATTCTGCTATATTAGAAAGAAAATTTTAATTTTGCATTTACCGTCATTTTAGAAAACATACTAAGTACATCTTTTCCTAAATGACATGTCACGAAATCTGACTCACACGGAAATCAAGATATGAATATTTTAATTTTTCAAATATTTTCTATATAACATTTTGACGAAACCTGATTTATGTAACTTTATTTCTAATTAAAGGCTAGAGTACCTTCTAATTAAAGTTACAGTAACGCTAATAATAAATGTAAATATTATTTAAAATAATATATTTTTATCTATCTATTCTGCGTAGTAATCACCAAAGAACTATTATAACAAGAACTCCTTATAAAGAAGAAAAAGAAAATATAAAATAATGCACTTAGTACAAGTAATAGTTGTATTGAAAATAATAAACTAATAATATGATTTTTAATTAGAATTATGTATTAGAAATTATTTTCATATCAGAAAATATCTAAAGAATCGATTTGTATGCTTAATGTGTGTTTATTTGTTCCAGCTATCGCCTTGTGCGCTTACGCAACAGAGGTTGAAAAGAAGAAGGAAGCGGCGCCTGCAGAAGTAGCAGATAATAAGGATAAAAGGCAAACCCAGCAGGAATATGTGCCAGGGGCCCTATACCGAGTGCCCAGGAAACAGGTAATGTCTTATTTGATTTAAATGCAATTTAGAATTTTATTTAACATTATTTATATAATTATGATATCAGCCGTTAATTGACCATTGCTGAAAACAGACGTAATCTATAAGGAAGGTTTTGCCAATAGTTGCCATGATCGGCAGGTAGGTTGGCAACCAGAGTTAGGCTTATATATACTAATATAAAAAGCGAAAAAGTTTGTATGATTGAACGCGCTAATCTCAGGAATTACCAGTTGTATTTGAAATTTTTTTTATGCTTTTGATAGCTTATAGCTTGAGAAAAATTTTAGGCTATTTAACATCACAATACGACCAAGGGCTAAGCTTCGAAATAGAGTCATGCATGTGCATTTAATAATCCTATTTTAAATGTAAAACTATAGTTTAACATTGAAAATAGGATTATTAATATATATATTTTAATACCATCTAAATATAAATAAAAAAATGTTAATTTTATGATTAAACATTTCTCATAGGTGTCCATATTTTTTTCACATTTAAAATACGTATGTTAAAACTTTATTGATATATATACAAATATTTTATTATACATCATAAAAAGACATGTTTGATATTGTGTACAAACTAACAGATAATATTATTTGTGACTTCTGAACTAGTATACAGTCATTATGCAATATGGTATACAAATATTTTATTAGACATTGAAGAACTAATTTCTAACTTTTACGCTAATTAATCAACATATTCCGGTCACAAGGATAAAGTAACGGATATAAGTTAATGAATTTTACTCGCAACTTTGTTCTTCTTTCTCATGTATTAGGCAAAATCTTTCGTAACAATCCACAATTAATAATTGTTATGTATCGACCCAGGCAAATATTACCCCCCATAGTTTTACATAAAACTTTTCAATTATAACAGTTGTTATACATTTTATTTCAATTTTATATATATTATTATTACAACTTCTCATAATCTTCGTCTTGTATGTCTTATTTACTCTGGACGAGAACATTATTTTTTTTTATAATAATTTGTTGCAAAACTACCATGTACATCCACTAATTAAACAAATAACATCTACCTGATAAAATTGCTTCTATTACCAAGAACTAATATATTCAATTTCCGTTCAGTACAAAAAGGCATAGGTCACACGACATCTAAAGTTCATGGAACGTCCAGTAAATGCTATTAGCCTTGCTTTGCAATGTAACTACAAAGGGAATACATTAGCATGGTCTCCTATAACATACTTTGCAATTTAGATTGTTGTTATCACGGATCGAATATTGGCAACTTATTTTGCGACTTCTAGACGAACAATTTCTCAATTCGTGTGTATTTTTTATGAATTTGTTACTCGACTTTTTGATTCGTCAACGAATTTAATTTTTTTTTTTGTCATCAATAAAATTTACACCCGTGTACATTTCTGTTGTAATTACTTTAAAATATATTTAATTGAAACGTACTTTTGTAAATATATAGTTTTTGGTACAATTTCAATAAAAAAAAATAAACATACATTTATATAAAAAAGTACGTTAATACCTTGGTTACATATTATTTCATGTCACTGTATCTATCAATACATATACTGAAACGTTTAAATTTGAAACTTATGTCAATCATTCGATATACAGGCTGTCTTTTCTTTAAAATAAAGATAACAAAGGTACTACTCATGATATTTTTTGTTTTGTAATTTTTTTAGAACGACCATAAGTTGAACTATAAGACGTTTCAAGGTTATCCATTCATTACTGGACACACTGTATATTTTTACAATATTAATTTAACACAGGTTATTATATTAACAAATTTAAGAGCTCAGTTCTAAAACCATAATTACTGTACCCATTTAAAATTATAATATTAATATTAGTACTGTAACTTATGAAACTACAGTTAGGTTTTTGCGAAATAAACATTACTTCAATTCATTTTCATATAGGTAGATACTAATGTTGATTATTTTAGTATTTTATTATTATATATATTAAAATTAATGACGTATAACACCTATGTAATACCTAGTCATTAAAATATAAGTGTAGTTTTTGTGAAGTAATTGTAATTTGCTAACTTTACTGTACCCGTTTAAAATTATAATATTTATATTAGTACTGTAACTTATGCAACTACAGTTATATTTTAAGAAATAAATCTCATTCCATATTAAAATATATAGATATATTTACTATATGATAAAGTAGATGTTAAGCAACTAGTTAATATTAGTCTAAAGATACCTAATTAGTTCCACGTTATACAATCGTTACTCTTCGATAAATAGATTAGTCAATAAACTATCGTTTGTCTACTTGGGCAGTGACTTAAAACGGTTTACGACCAAACGGATAATGTACAAAGACGCCCTTTCACTTTTGTGCCCTAGATTTCGTCACGAACTCGCCAGTCCTTTAACTAATATTCAAAGTGGCTTACCATCAGAAAATAGAGTAGAAGTTACAATTTATCCTACATTTGTATTGGATCTGGCGTATTGCTGAAACGTCTATTAAAACACATAAACACTAGTTTGACCTTTTATTTTTTAATAATTTACGCTTAAATGCCTTAAATTATGAGTTACAATATTTTTATAGACCAAATTTTATGACATAATATCATTTTGAATGTGATCGTATTTTTCTTAAGAAAAAAAAGTACTATTTGCAATGTCTTATGACCCTCTTTTTATTATATGACTTCAAAAATAAGCAGGTTGTAATTTTGGTAGTAGTTTTTAAAGTTCGTTACTCCATAACTCCGTTAGTTGTAAACCGACATAGATTTTTTTTTATCTAAAGGGATATACTTACAGGTTGGTCACCTACAAATTTTTATCAAAATCGGTTCAGTAATTTAGTTTTTAAATTAAAGTAACTGGTTTTTATGAATAATTGAAAAAAGATAGAAGACAGCGAATTTTTATGAGCTAAGGTCCCGACATAGAATAGGACACCCCTACCTTTTCCGTGGGTGCCTTAAGAGCGACTTAGGGAGCTTATGGTCGAGAGATAGGCAGCAGCGTGCCTCTTTAAACATCACCGATAGCCAAACTGCGGTTGCCAACCTGTCTGCCAAGCGTGGCAATTACTGGTAATATCTCCTTTATGGGAGAGTCTATGTTCAGCAGTGAACAGTTGATGACTGATGCAATACAATACAAAAATAGCATTTTTTTTATACAAGTTAGAATGGCAAACAAGCTGACGGCCCACCTGATGGAAAGTGGTAACCGTCGCCTATAGACATGAGCAGTACTATGGACATAACGGAGTATACTGTTTCGCCCATGATACTCCCCATGCGTTGCCATAGGACTCAAAAATTCACGCCATATCCCAGAAACACAGCCATAAACACAACTGCTTCACGGTTAAACACGAATAAAATTATTCATCTTTTAAAATAATTCGGAATAGATAAAATTATTCATCTTTTTCAAGTAGATAGACACCATGTCAAAGTGTAATAGAAACCTTTAACTCTGCGAAACAAGCAAGCGCTCAATTATAATACCTCTATACGTTATTTATTCGAAGGATATTATCCGCAAAGTTGTTCCGGAAATTACATTGCCATAATAAATGTTTCATCTATTGGGAGCGATAAAACTATTGCCGAAAGAGATATGGTGGATGATACCAATACAATTTGTATCTTCATTTTCTGTTTGTAGCTACATAATCTTTAATTCGAATAGTTTTACGAAATGTACTGAATGCATTTAACCAGAGATAAATAGATATTGTTTAATATTCATTGAAATCTCTTAGGCGTTTTCAAGGACTAATAAAGAAAAGTTGGTTTGAATTATTTTTATCGTCTTTATACTTATTTCTTTATGTGAATTTTAAGAATTTTAATCGAACATAATAATATGTATATTATTGTATCTACTTATATAATTGGATAAGGTATTGGCAGGCTTCATCGATTTATCATAGTCAGCCTGATAAATCTGTTTAAATTTATTGTACTCTCTACAAATAAGTAAATGTGAAGGTTTTTATTCATTTATTTTTGGACGTTAAGATGTTTACTCTGAACAGGTTTGACTGAAATATGTTACATTTATGAGTCACATCAAAATGTCCTAGATTTATTCTAGTCTATATATAAGTATATTAAATAACTAATTATAAATCATAATTATCAAAAATATCACCAAATATGATATTTTTTATTTTAATTTTTTTTTATACAACTTAGAATGGCAAACCAGCTGACGGTCCACCCGATGGAAAGTGGTAACCGTCGCCTATAGACATGAGGAGTGCCATGGACGTAACAGAGTATACTGTTTCACCCATGATACCCCCCATGCGTTGCCATTCCTGAGGCTCAGGTGTTATTTCTCTGTACTCAGTAAATTCACGCCATATCCCACACCTTTCAAACCGAAACACAGCCATGCAAACACAACTGCTTCACGGTTGAAACACGAATAGGACAGAGGTAACCAAGCAATATACTTTTGTACAAAGTCTCCCTCTGGTGAATTTAATAAGGATACAAAAAATACCTAAAAGACATAAACAATAAATACAGCCATAACATATATCAGCGAAGATCTTATTTTTTTTTTATTTTCCCTCCTTTTTTCCTTTTATATTAACACACACATACATAAGAAATCAATGATTTTTATTTAAAAGCGAAAGTAGATATCAAACTATTCACTTTCATTTGACGTAGTCATATTGAAATCAAGTTTATGAGGTCACAGTGAGATCACGTAACACTGACATAGTCAGAAGCTGCTTGAATGCCAAGTTCAACTCATTATCTAACAATTTAAGAGATTATTATAGCTGTTCTTTATAGAAATAATAACTATGTATTTCAATCGTAACAAAATTAATATTGGATGAGAGAAAAACTTACTAATTGTAAAAGGAGTAATCTAAACCTGTTTTAAACTGATTAAGATGTAAGTAACATACAACACTCACAATAAAATTACAATTGAATTTAGAATCTCTATAATAATGAGTTATTTTACTTACTTATTT